GCACACAGTTGGGTCAGGCAGGAACCACACTAGCTGCACCCACATGGCCCAAAGCAGTGCAGAGCAAACAGTGTGGCGCTGGCCAGACCTGGCTGCATGCCAGGGACTTGGGGTGGGGAAGAGGTGCAGGGAGAAGGGGGGAACACAGCAGGGCACCTGCCTAGCCAGGCCCAGATAACCTGTGGCTTCTGGCCCCTTTCTCCCTGCACCCCCTCCCCAAATCCCCAGCACAAGGCCAGTGCCACACTGCATTCCCACATTCTGCCTTGGGCCACATGGGTACAGCTGGTGCAGGTTCTGCCCAACCCTGCCATGTGCCAGGGACTCAGGGCAGGGTAAGGGGTACAGGGAGAAGGGGGCTGGGAGTTGCAGGTTGTCTAGGCCCAGCCTGGCTGGTGCCATGCTATGTTCCCCACTTCTCCCTGCACCTCCTCCCTGTACCACCTGTCCCAAGCCCCCAGCAAATCCCCTACCCCAAGTCCCTGGCTGGGTCAGACAGGAGCCACTCCAGCTGCACCCACATGGTCCAAGGTGGTGCATGGAAACACAGCATGGCACTGGCCTAGCCATGCCCCAGAGACTCAGTGCAGGGAGAAGTGGGAAACAAAGGTTCCTCTACTTCTGTCTACTCACCTCTGCCCTTAGATCACAATTATTTGCCCCAGATGGCTACTTAAGGAGTTTTGGTGAGCTGTTGAGGGAAGTGGGGAGGTACTGACCTAGCCAGCAAGAGCTCACCAAAACTCCCTAAGAGGCCATCCCGGCCAAATAATTGCCCATCTCTACAATCAGAGGTCTTGAAAAATTATAACTTAACCTCTTTTGGACTGGTTTATATCAGGCCAAGCTGGACGTTTGTTACCTTGGGCAGTTTAAAATATGAACCTCTGATGACCAGGGATCCTGGTTCTCTCTGATAAAAAAAAAAGATCCCCAATTTTTTGGATTAAAAAATGTAACCCAAAATCCACATTTTCCCATGATTGTCAAGAATGATGGATTTCAAAGGCGTGTTTACATGACTACCCCAAAGGGGGAGTGGGGTGGGGGGTGGCCATGTAAACACTCCCTCCACCCCCTGTTCCTCCAGCTTCCGGTATGGGGGCTCCCTCCCCCTGCCAGCCTCTGACTCCTTCCCTGAGCAGCGGAGCTTCCCCCTGTCTCCCCTCCCCTCCCTACTCCCCTCCCTTCTTCTCTGCTGCCTCCCCTCCCTGCTGGCTATTAGTAATAAAAGCTGTGGGGTGCATGTGCACATTGGGCACCCTGCTGGGCATGGGGGGGGCATCAGGGCTGGGCGCTGGGGGGACACCAACATTGTGACACTCCACCCCCGTTCGCCTCTCCCTGCCCCGCGCCCACCTGGGCCCGTGCAGCCAATTGCTGCCCTCTCGGCGGTGCAGGCATGGTTTCATAGGTTTCATAGACATTAGGGCTGGAAGGTGTAAAGATCAGATTAGCGTGCCGCACACGCCCTCTTGTGGCCAATCAGACCCAGTACCACACAAACGAAAAGAAACCACCCCCCCACCCCGTCCTGACGGCTGGGCTTGACAGGAGGGGAAAGCCTGTGTTGAAACCTGAGCACACAAAAGAGAATCCATTTGCAGTCATGACTGGCTAATATAAAGTAAAACAAGATAAGAAGTTATAAAAGTTCTCTCCGTCCTTTGTTCGGAGAGACTGCCATTCAACTGTAACTCGAGCCAGACTCGTAGTTACCCTGGGCTGATCACCCAACGTTCTCCCGCCACTGCTTCCCCAGGCGTATACCCAGTTAAATCCGGACCGTCTCGTCTTGACTCGTATTTCGTAACGCAACTGAAGCACGGCATATCAACCTCCGCCACCAACTGTAATCTCAGGGGCGTGAGTAAATAAACTTTTCCTGTTTGAAACTACCTACACCTCCGAGCCTTCCTCATCTCGTAAACTCCAGATCCTCCCAGAACCAGAGGGCGCTGCCAAGCCCCTCTCCCAGTGTGGGACATGGCGTCACGAACAGGATCTGGTAGGGATGATGGAATGATGCAGCATGACTTAGTCCGCTATTGCCCGTGGTCCACTGGCACACGGCCATTAAGGGACTCCAATGATTTATGGGCCCACATAGTGTACCATCAAGCTGGCAGCCCCACAGCAAGAGAAGAGTTCTCGGGTTACCTCTCGCTTACGACCGGGGGAAAGGAGTGGAACATGACTTTAAACCCCGCTGCGTTCGGGTGTGTCATGAGCCACCCGAACGTTATATTCCGGGCCCGCGAGGCATGTGGTGCACTAAGCCTCGCGAGAGTTAAGCCTGTGGGTACAGTCAACCCCGACCCCAGAAACGTCCCGATCACTCTCACCGCTGTCGAAGCCGCCATCGACGTGTATGGAGGGGCGCATCAAATCCCGCTTCAGTTAATGCTCATGGGAATAGTGGGGCAACTAGTAACATCCATCCTCGCCCACTCACATAAACTACAGAGCCTGAAAGACACAGGGAGTGCGACTGCACCAGTGCAAGTGCTTGCAATTGCCCCACAGCAACCAAACCCTAAACTCGCATCACACCCCCCACAACAGCCCGACGCCAGAGCTTCACACCCACCGGATTGCTCGCCCCACAAACGAGCCATGTTCGGGTTCTTGCTGAACCGCACCGGGCTTATCAAGGCAGCTATTAGGAGGCTCAGCGACGAAGACGAGCAGCAGCTAGCGGATCGCCTTGGATATAACTGGCAAGACAACTACCTCTCAAAAACCTGGTTGTCACCGTCGGCTCCATGGCAACCGATGACTCCTGACCCTATAGCCGCATTACCGTCTATCACCCCCAGCGCTTACAGGACCCCCGCGATGTGCGGTTCCTTCTGGATACTGGTGGTCAAGTCAATGTCATCTGCCCTGACGTCCCGCATGTACCCGCCAAGGCTACCATGTTCGTTCAAGGCCTGAACAAAATGAAACAGACCCAAGTTGTGCGCTTTTGGGTAAAAGGAGAGGAAAAACCCCTTACGGCCGTTTTAGGGGACGTAAATCTCCTAGGCATACCCGGCCTGCGTCAACTGCAGCTTAAGCACCAAGTTGCCACCACACTGCCTGTCACCACAGCAAGTCCACTGCACGTCCTGTTGCTACTTTCTACAAGGCCCTGGAGGTACCAGCCCATCCCAACGAAGGAACCGCTCAGTGACCCCCTGAAGGCTTTGCTCCAGCGCTTGCAAGACGAGGGGAAAATCACTCCTGTCACCGCCTCAGCTTTCCTGTCACCTGGATGGGGCCTCACTAAAGCTCACCAACCAGGAGCTGTACACCTAGTCATCGACTATCGTGAAGTCAATAGGCGCTGTTCTCCGCTCGCCGCACCGTATGCTTTGTCTGTCCCCAAAACACTGTCACAGATGCGACAGCACCAAGCTGTGAAATGGTGGGGCGCCACCGTCGACTTAAAAGACATGTTTTATTCGATCAGCATCGATGACCGCCTTGGCATCCTCAACATGGCAGTCAACGGGCAAATGTTCAAGTGGAACGTCTGCCCACAAGGCTATTGTAACGCACCTGCCCTTGCTTGTAGTGCCATCACCAATACCCTCGCGAGCTTTCGGAACCCCATCCTGATGTCAAGGTCTGGAGCTACGTTGATGACTTAGCGATCATGGGCCCAGAAGAGCAGCCGGTCACCACCACAACCCGAGAGCTAGTACATCACCTTACCGAGCACGGGTGGACAGTGAACGATAAGAAATCCCAGCTCGCGCCGCAGACTCGGATGACCTTTTAGGGATTCGAGCTCAATGAAGATCAATTCCGCTGCTGTCCAGCGACACACCACCACTCGCGTGCTGGTTGAAAGATCCGCCGAAGAGCAAGACAGACTTTCAGCAGCTACTTGGAGACCTCGGTTGGCGATGCCACTTCATTAACCCCGAACATCTCCCTATCTTGGCTCGCATTCAGTCTCAGATTGGCAACAAGGCACGCAAGTCGTCACCATGGACTCCAAAAGATGCACGTGACCTGCAGCTTCTTTCAACAGCTCTAGCAACCACATCTCTAGTGGCATGGGACCCATCGTCCCGGCTCAAAGTTCACGTTGGTTGTACGAACATGCACATCTTTGTATCTGTCCACAACGAGCACAGCCAACTTGTCCATTGTGTACACAAAACTTTGCAAGCAACCCAACACCGATATGGGATCAACAGCAAGCATTTGTTAGCCCTTCAGCTTGCCTCTGCGTATGCAACAGGAACTGGAAAAGTGTGTTCCCCTGGAGCCTCACTATTACCCCTCTTAGATCCCGAGCGACCCGAGCCCACCTTTCAGGGAGACAGCAAGATTTGGACATGCTTAGTCCTCCAGCACCACTATGAGTGGTATAATTGGGACCACCAAGACACCAGTCCCCAAGCCCCCACAGCAGCAAAGTGGCCCTTTTTGTACGGTACGACCGAGGACAGGTGGATGGCTTCTGATGGGTCCACCAAGCTAGGTAAGAGCTTTGGATTTTTCTCTAAGCTGTGCAACCGCATCCTGCAGAAGCCAAGAGACAGTGACGATGACGCACAACGCCTGGAGCTCCTCGGATTCCAAGTCATGGTTGAACACTGCTACGCTTACCATGATGATGTCCAGCCGGTCCCAGTGCTGGTAGTAGACAGCCAATACAGATACAAGATTGTAACGGGTGTCGCCAACCCCATGGAAAACACTGACGTGTGGGAAATGATCTTTTCTTAATTAGCGGAGTTCAGCCAGCTCCCACTGATAAAACACACCAAATTGCACCAGCCCGATACTGATCCTGTCCACGCTCGCATTGATGAATACCTGCAAAGCCCTCGCTGTATGATAACCACTGCCCTGACAATGCCCAACAGCGATTATCTAATCCAATGGCTTCACGAGTTCTGGATCCACCCAGGAAAGCGCAAGGCGCATGCTTGCTGGAAACAATCAGGGGGACAGAGCGGAGACATCCGACCCGATGCCTGGGATGAAGCAACCCATCGCTGCCTCGCCTGTAGCCGCGATAAGCCCCAGTACAGCGTCAAATCTGAGAAGCACGCCTATGATCCGTCACACTTCACTCCCGGTCAAGTGTGGCAAATAGACCTCCTCGGCCCACTCCCAGAAGCTCGCTGAAAACCCAAGGGTCTCATCGTAGTCGACTTAGGGACACGCCAATTAGCTGTAATACCACTCTTGAAGTCTCGCGCCCAAGACGTCGTCCACACACTCCATCAAGTAGGACAATGGTGGAAGTACCCGCAACAGATACAGTCCGACGGTGGTCCGCCGTTTAATAGTTGCCAACTTGCCAAATTCGCAGCGGAAAACAACATTAGCTGGCATCTTCTTTTGCCGTACCACCCGCAAAGCAATGGCGTCGTGGAAAGATCCATTGGACTGTTAAAAGAAAAGCTACGCCTTTGCAAAAATGGAAGCTATAAAAGCTGGGATGCGCACCTTCCACAAGTGTTAAGCTCCCTAAACTTCGACAAGGCGTTATGGGAATCCCGTGATCCGGTTGGACCGCCAGCCTGGAAACCTGTCTATGAGCCCGCCACGCTCGTGTGGGCGACAATACCCACCCACAACGACCTCCGTCCAATCCCCCTGCCAGGACATGTCACCGAAGCCGGCGCTTACCCCAACACTTATATCTGTGAACCGCAGGGACAATCTAGGCCCTGTCTGGTGCACCATAATTGGATTTTGAGGCGTTCTAAGCAGTTAGAAGTTACCAGTTAAAAGAGTCCAGTTACTTGTTGTCTTTGTCGTTACAGGGGAGGGTGGACGGACAGACTGACAGACGGCTGGCCGTTAGGTCGACATACCAATGGCCGCAATCCTGTTGCTGTTGTCCTCCTGTGGAACCCTACTCCATTTGCTCCACAATAACTCCAACACCTTGAGCATGCTCAGAATCTTAGCAGCAGAGTGACTGGAAGCGGATGGCGCAGATGACACCCTTGCCAATGCAATGGACTGTAAGCTGTGCTTTACCTGATTGACGGGTGTGGCCGACTTAAAACTGTTGTTAACTGTCAGTCATCCCCATTGTGAGGATAGTCCCCTCCTTTGTGTTAATCTTTTTAATCAAACTAGCTGTCCAGTTTCTCGCCCCTCAAGCTTAGAAAGCGTGTTAGCCAAGACTTCGCTCACTCCGACAAGCGCCACACCTAACTGGCCATATGTATGCATTGGGCCTAAGTGTCTAGACGGTGCACTAAACTGCACCTCCCCCGTAAGCCAGCTGTTAAAAGCCGTGCAGTTAAACACTTCCACCCTCAATGACAGCTTGGCGCTTGGCGCCCTGGCTCAAGCTGTGTATGCTTTACCTGATCTGGATCCTCATAGTCTACTTATCAATAAGACGCCTCCATGCCAGTTTTCCCATGGTGTTCACGCTGTCTTAGCTATATTAACCGCCCTCAAACCATGGTGCATGAATCAAACCACAACCGGTAACACACCTTCCAGGTCCCAAGTGTGTCTGAATAGCTCAAACACTAACGAGGGGAAGGGATGCTTGCCACTGCAAACCCCATTATGTAATATGACCCGAGGGGGTAAAGGTGGAAACTTTACTAAACGCAGCTGAAGACTTCATCCCCTGTGTTCAGGAATATTATCTACCATGAGCCTAACCCCACCGGGATGCTTATGGCTTAACCTGAACACCTCTCGCGTCACGCGGTCCCTTATTCTTGAGCCGAATGTAACATTTACATTGGTGGCCTCTCTGTTGAACAGCCCAGACGTGATTTTCTTTAACAAAACCCGTAGTAACCCCCATGCCTCCCGCCAAAAACGGTTGTCCCTGTCAGCAGATCCTGACCTTGACCGTGCGTGGAAACTAATGACCACCTGGGACAAATGGGCCATGTACTTTCCATACTTTGGGTCAAATCACGTCATGAGCCACATAGTATTGTTAACTGAAGCTGTAGAAGCTCTTGCCAATGCAACCCAATTAGGCTTTGAGCGAGTTGAGACCGCCATTAAAAATACCCAACAAGCAGTGTATTACAATCACCTCAGCCTAGATTACCTCTTGGCAACAGAAGGTGGGTTGTGTTTGGTCTTTGCAAACGCAAGCCACTGTTGCCTCAAGTTCAGCTTGACTTCATTCGATTTGACTGATGTAATCAACAGCATAAACAACGCCAAAAGCCTCATCGACCGTTCCAAGTTAGCACGCGATGGCTGGTTTGATTGGGGCTTCGAGTGGCTAGACTGGCTAGGGTTGGGCTGGTTAAAGAAAATGTTTGTTGTTGCAATTTTAGTATTTTGTATAATATGCTTTGTATTATGCTTAGGCTGTTGTTTATTTCAATGGCTAAAACGCAAACTAATGTATTTATCTGCTTTTGTATACACCTGCTTATCGCTTAATCCACTTGATGACAAGTTAAATGACAAAGACACCCAAATTTCAGTGCGCATGCGGCAAGGGGGCATGTAAAGATCAGATTAGTGTGCCACACGTGCCTTCTTGTGGCCAATCAAACCCGGTACCACACAAACAAAAAGAAACCCCCCCGGTCCTGACAGCTGGGCTGACAGGAGGGGAAAGCCTGTGTTGAAACCTGAGCACACAAAGGAGAATCCATTTGCAGTCATGATTGGCTAACACAAAGTAAAACAAGATAAGAAGTTATAAAAGCTCTCCCCGTCCTTTGTTCGGAGAGACCGCCATTCGACTGTAACTCAAGCCGGACTCGTAGTTACCCTGGGCTGATCACCCAACTTTCTCCCGCCGCCACTCCCCCAGGCATATACCCAGTTTAATCTGGACCATCTCGTCTTGACTCGTATTTCGTAACGCAACTGAAGCACGGCATATCGGCCTCCGCCACCAACTGTAATCCTAGGGGCGTGAGTAAATAAACTTTTCCTGTTTGAAACTACCTACGCCTCCGAGCCTTCCTCATCTTGTAAACTCCAGATCCTCCCAGAACCGGAAAGCGCTGCCAAGCCCCTCTCCTGGTGCGGGACAGAAGGAACCTCAAAGATCATCAAGTCCAGCCCCCTACCCCAGGAGCAGGAAGTCAGCTAGGGTCAAAGGACCCCAAAGTTGCCAAAGAGCATTACAGATGGACAGACACACAGACAGATTAGGCCCTTTATATATTCTAATATTATAAAAGCCTTTGTCTGTCTGTCTGTGTGTCTGTCCATAACACTTTATTCACACTCTGATTGGTTGTCTGAAACAACCAATCAAAGTGCTCCAAGAGTGTTCTGGACAGGAGGTGGCAGCATGGCAGAGTGCTGCCATGATGGTGGGGACGGAGCGGCTGAAGCAGGGGGGCGAGGCCAGCAGTGCTGGCCTCACCCTCCCTCGCCCCCACCCAGACCTCTTCCCTGCAGTCAGCGGCAGCAGGGGGTGCTGGCCGAGGGGATGGCGGGGCAACTTCCCCCCAGCCCCGTGCTCCTGGGAGATGGCAGTGGCACGGGGTGGTGGGTGGCACTGCCTGGGGGCCCCGGCATTCCTGACGGGCAGTTGGCTAGTATAGAATATATATTAGTGCTGTTTCATTTTAAACATGGAAAACTTTGGATTTTGGGTTACTTTTTTAAATCTGAAAATTGGGGCTTTTTTATCAGAGAAAACCAGGATCCCTGCTGATAACAGTCCTCTCCTTCTTCTATTTTTTTCACATATTGGCTAAAAATAGTTTTTCCACCAACCTTTAAAGCTACTTCACCAATTTTTCACGTTAGTCTTTTAATACACAAAATCTCAATTACTTTCACACCATGTATTTGAATACACACTGTCAAGTTTTGCATGTACAAAAAACTGTAGATAATTATAGAGGTTGTTTCTTAACATTTGTCCTATAATTTAAATCAGCTTCCAACCAAACCATTTCTCACCACTTAACAAGATAAATGCCACTAAGTGCATTTTGTTTTTTTACAGACTGGCTTGAAGATTTTTTTTAATTGAGTCGGGCACAAGCAGAATTCTTATCTATAGGTTACCTGTTAGCACATCTTACTATGAAGCTACAACTTTCACTTGAATTTTCATTTCTACCTAGAAGAACTTTTACAATCTTTGCTTTTTCCTGTGCCTGAAGAAGGATGCCTGTGCCTGAAAGCTTGCAAATAAAGGGTTTCTTTTTTGCAAATATCTGGTTGGTCTAATAAAAGATATCAACCTCTGCCATGAGTTCTGATTCCTTTTGCCTCAATATGGCTACAACCTGGATACCTGACACCATCATACAACAAAGCATTGGGTCTGAGAAACTGCATACCCCAGATGTTGCAGAGATTTCTGGAGAAAGTTCCCCACAGTTCATTTCAGAGGTGTGTTCCAGTAGCATGTCAGGAGGATGACCAGTGGGAGCCACAGACAACATGGAACTATAAAGCCCTTTGGGAATGCGAGAGACAACAAAAGGCCATGCTTATCATTCTTCCTGATACCCAGCAATAATGAGACATGGCCAGACTAAAGAATGTCCCTACTTCTGGAGGGAGATGAAGCTTATATCCTACCACGTGATACCTTGCAGTTGCCAACATAAACTTGCTTTGATTCATGCATTGCTTGTTTGTGCAGAAAATCATTCTAGAGATACTGACTATGGATTTTATCAGATATCCACATTTAAAAGTTCAGTTAGAATTTTATTTGTCACTCATCTAGGTACCCATTCTCCTGCAGGCAGAGAACAATATATGATAAAAATATATGCACTGTCAGTTTCTTCTCAGATATGTATTAGTTATAGATACGGATTTTAAATTATAGTATTGTTTTCCTTGTACAGTATAACTTCATAAATCTGGCATGCTCAGGACCGAGCACCTGCTGGAAATGTTAACATTCTGGATTTTTTAAACCGGAATGGTGGCTGGTCCTGGAGCAGTGGCTGCATGCAGAGCGGCACCACAGGGTGGTAGATGGCAGCGGCAGCTGCTGGGCGCAAGCTTCCTGCTCTGCTGCTCTGGGACCGGCTGCCACTACTCCCCAGTGGAGTGTAGTTTTAAAAAGTGCTGTATCTTTTATAATTC